ATATTTTGTTTTTGGTGTATTTTGTTTTGTTTTTAGTGCATTTTGTTTTGTTTTTAGTGTATTTTGTTTGGAAGTCGGTTTTGTTTTTTGTCTAATGTACGCACCTGATGATTTCTATATTTCAACAGCAATTTTATTCGTTCAACATAATAATAATTATAATGCTCGTCTCTGTAGAACATATCTCCTGTTTTAAACCAACCATCTTCTGCGAATGTCTCCCTGGTTGCTTTTGGATTGTTGTAATATTCCTAAAACATGTAAACATAATTGTACTAGCTGTTTCACGAGACTTTTCCCGCGTGAAATTAAATAATAACAAAAATTATAGCTTATGTTAATTACTGATAACGTAGCTTTTAAATCGTGAAATAATTTTTGAAATTGGCCTAGTGGTTTTTAAGTTATTTCAGTACATACAAAAATACAAATTTTCCTCTTTATAACATTAGTATTCATTGTATATAGATTTAGATATGGAAGAAGTAACACTATTTGTTTAAAATCTACGACTATTGGATAATAATTCCGTTATTTTATGATCTCATGGGTTGGGCATTTTTTTAATAAGATCCATTACCTTAAAAATACCAGGTCCTTTCACCCATAACTCCCCTCGTACATTTGGCTCTACAATGTCCTTCTTCGTCTCTGGGTCTACTATCTAGAAAAAAAAAATAGTTTATGGCAAAGGTTTATGGTACATTTTCCAGTAAATTGGTAAATATGAGAATACTTTTACCTCCAGTTGACTTAAAGTGCCACGCTATCGTTATGAAATGGGTGGGTAGTTTTGAACAAAATATAGTTCGTTGTTTTATTATAAAACTCACCCGATATTGGAAGCAGCCAATCGGTTTACCGCATGACTCTATCGGGCCATTTTCTTGCATGAAAGCGATGCTTGATAGTTCCGTCATACCAAATACGTTTAGAACTTCGGTGCGGGGCATGACTTGCTAAAATAAATATAAACATTTTTAATTTTTTATCGAATGTTTTTTTTTAATAACGGAAAAACTAATATTAACCACAGATAATGCCTCGGTTTCGACTGTGACTCCAATCGCATGCCATTTAAAAAAAAAGTAGTCTATGTGTTCTTCCAGACTATCCTCAATATCTATGCCTTTCATCGAACGTCCAGAAGTTTAAGCTACAGACTCTAACGAACATCCATCCATCTAAACTTTCGCATTTATAATAATGAGATAAAATAGTAAGATAGATGTCGTTAAAAGTATTTAATTTAAAATGAACTATGCGAACATTCTTTTTTTTTAGAATTTTATAGATCCGACTATTGTGAAGAAGTTAAGCAACTTACAATTTTTTTATAAAATATAAACGTGTGTGGCTAATTACTAAAATGAATTAACCTAAGAAGCAAAGATCTTTGATAAATTTAATTCAATAAATTATATTCAAAAGAAATTAATATTATACAAAAATTGTAAAAGAATCTTGACCTTGGAATTATAAGAAAAATGTGAAAGAAAAAAAACGACGTGACCGCGAACAAAAGCAATTAATACTCGCCCTGAAGAAGGACCCCCGAAGGGTCTGAAACTAGTCGGTGCCGTCACCGGAGGATAAAAGCGTGAGTTGAGCCGTTGTTAATTATCGCTTTAAGTAATGTCTCACGATAGTTTAAACAATTTAAGAAAAATATCTTTATAACATCATATTCACCTTTAAATCCTCAAGAAGTTCCCGAGACACAGCACTGCCGCCTAAATATATTAGTTCAAAACATGTCATGTCACAATTTCTAGCAATGCCATTTTTCAACAACGTAGTCATTAATGTCGGACTCATGATCGTAAAAGTAGGCTGAAATAAGATACAATTAATAGAAAACTAGATACACTATTGCCTAAGCATATTACAGTATAAGTTATCGCACACTAGCTGTTGCTTACGACTTCGTCCGCGTTAAATTTAATCAACTGTCAAAACAAACAATCAAAAATCACTGTAAACGTAGCTTTTTAATGGTGTAAGAATTTTTGAAATCGGCTAAGTAGTTTTTGAGTTATTTAAACATATATAAAAATACAAATCTTTACGCTAGTATAGATAAACCTATAACGAGAAAAATCTCAAGCTTCAAGTAAAATCGTAAATCTTAATTACTGCCTCTAGGTAAGAAAAAACACCCTCCTCTTATTCTTTTTGAGAAAAAAAGACAATATGTCTGTAGTTACAAGCGCTGATTTTAAAAATCGTAAAAAAAATTAAAGATGCCGTATAAAGTAATAACTACCCTGTATTTATCGATGAGGTATGCCCCGTGCTCTGGTGTGATAGATTCAGTGCTCTGTAGTCTGGTATACCTTAGTATCGGAGACAGTACGAAGTTGATGATTGCTGTCATCCATTGCATAGGAGAGCAGATCAAGGCCATGCGTGTCGGTCCGGGGAAATTGGATTCCTTTATCCTGGAATACAGAGGGATAATTATTTTTCAATTGTCTAGTTTGGTATTGTCCGATGTGATGTGATTTTGGCTTTCTTTTGTTTTCTGTACTGAAAATTTAAAGTCTGTACCAAATCCCGCCGTACCAATCTGATTTTCGAATTTCATGTACATAATTTACTCGACGTTCTTACGTTGAAGGAAAACATCGTGATGCCTTCACATATCGGCGATGAAATTCAAAGATGTGTGTGAAGTCAACTAACCCACACTGGGCATGCGAGGTTGACTATAGCCTAGTCAACCCTTATTTAGGTTCCGAGCCCCACAGTGGGGACATATAGTGAGCTGGTGATGATGATGGCCAAATTAAGGTAATGGAAGACTGAAAAAAGTATGGATGGATTCTGTGAAAGACGATATGCTTAAGAAGGGAGTGAGTGAAGATATGATGGGTCGTAGCTGTACTGAGCTAACCTTTCTAAGAGACAAGGGCAAGTTGAAGATAATGAGATGACAATATCTACAATTTTACTTATAAGTATAGTATTTTACCATGTGTAAGGATTTGTGATAGCTATATTCTTGTGATTGACTGTAGCTGATTTAGGTAGACCCGTCGTTCCGCTCGTAGCAACGAGCAACGCTATTGTGTTCTCGGGGTCGAAGTCCGATGGCCTGCGAACGAGCATTGTAAGGTAAAAATTACTATAGCAATTGGTCGACAAAGAAGTTTAAATTTTAGTAAATCAAGATGTCAAAGTACCGATAGAAAGAAACTTTGTATTAAGGAGAAAATAGTAAAGATAAAGGATTCTGTTTTTGAGATTTAGAGATAACACTTACTTATAGTCATCTACAGCGGAATCATCACCATATTTTCTGAGAAATTCGTCATAATCGAAGAGATAATCTCCCTTATCAATGGTAATGATGTGCGCGTTATGATCCAACTTATTTAGAGCCAATTGGACGTCGGTCGCTTTCTCACTTTGACAAAATATTACTTTAGGTCTGCTAACTTCGAAACTATCCTTCAATTCCACTGAAAGAGAAACCTGTAGCTACATTTCATGCGAATTTGCAAAATTGGTGGAAAAAAAAACAATCTTAATCAACGTTCTTCTTAACTATTTAAGTTTACTCTATTTAAGTCTTTCATCAGAACCCTTCAAGATTATCAAATGTTTCATCAAGGATATCTCAATCTTTAAACGTAGAAAACGTTACTGTCCATCTTATGATAAATTAGAATTAACTATTATGTTTGAGAGCAGAAATTACTACATACAAGGGCCTAATGTCCGATCGACTGCAGAAGTTCCAACACCGATGTATAAAGCTGCGTAAAACGGAATCGTTAAATGTATATGGTTTGGTGCCATCATCACCACGATGTCACCTCGCTTCAAGCCGAGATTTTTCAGAGCAATCGCACATTGGACAGATCTTTTTAACACTGAACCGTTTGTTTCTGATTCTCCCGTCGATCCATCAATCTGTGGAAAGAATTAAAAATGAACTGTTTAAAAGAAATCTGCGCAACACACGCAGTCCCATCCTTATGTCTTCATAGAGATGTCCTCTCTCACACTCAGAGGGAACGAGTTTTTTTTATAGCAGAAATGGGAAAACAAGCAGCGGATCGGGTGCCGGATCCTACGCCCATGGACATCTGCAACGCCAGAGACCGGAGTTGCTTTTCTCGTCTGTCTTCTGTGCAATCTATCGCAGCAAATGATGCGGACAGTATCACATTTTGCTTACCTGAAGTAGAAAGTCCGGGGCATCCTTGAGACTTTGAAAGATCAATTTCCCCAGATGGTATCTGTCACTTGGTATCCCAGTTTGGGCGATGACACGACTCGAAAGGTCATTCATAAACCAATGTACAGAGTCGTTCATACGCTTCGGTATAGTCATATTTCTATAAAAAAAAATTATGTTATAAAATACCTATATTGAAATAAAATTGATATTTATTCTGGTTTAAATTACGTTGATTATTCGGTCCGGAACATGTTATAAAGTAATAAACTGTAAAGGCTATTAACCTTGACTGTTATGTCTTATCTTAATTTATTGTTTGCAAAAAATTTAGATAATTAATACAAACATGATATTAAGGCAAAAATAAACGATGTTAGTTTTATCAAAAGTATTATTTAGTTACTATGTGAGTATGCATTTTACTAATAATAAAAATGCGAAAGTTTAGATGGATATTTTGTTAGAGTTTACAGCCTAAACGGCTTACGGATCTGGATGAAATTCGGCATAGTCTCAAGAACATATAGGCTACTAATTCAGTTTTTTTAATTCCACGCAGACGTTAGCAACAGCTAGTCTAGGATATAGATAAGAATCACATGTAACAAGAACGTTAGTTATAAGTGTGATACACCGGTAGAGGTAAACCTTGAAAGAGATGGATTGCGAGAAATGTGACATGATCAAGACGGGAGTGATGACTGAGATGACGGATGATAGCGTTATGTGGAGGACAAAATCCAGTTGCACAACTCTACGGGAGTAGGATAAGGATGGGGATTTCCTTTTTTCATTCCCTGTTATTTGATACTTGCTTTCACTCGTGAATCCGTCTGCTTGGGATTAAAAAAACAAAGTGAGTAGTCTACGTGTTCTTCCAGACTATCCTCCACATCTATACCAAATTTCATCGAAATCCTCTAACCAACATCCATCTAAACTTTCGCATTTATAATATTAGTATGATTTTGTGTTATGAATAAGACAATTATCTCATAGTATAGAGGATAGCAACGAATGAGCCTTAGCCAGTAGCTTTATGACCTATTTTAGCAACAGGATTTATTGGCTTAAGTTATCAACAGCTGTAAAACGATTAACAATAACTCCTAATCAGATTAACTTAGCCGACTGCATTGAAGAAATAATATTAATGCGAAAAAGATAACATTTTATGTCAATTAGTTAACGTAAACAGTTTTGTTCCACTTCATAATTTATCTGAAGCAAACAGATAACAGATTCATTACAAAAATTTCCTTTATACGTAATACGTGAAGTTGTCTTTGCATCGACGGTCCAATCGATACTTCTATACTAATATAATAAAGCGTAAACACACACTACTTCGTGGCGTAGGATGTAGGCAATCACAGCATATTTTTGAATAATTATTTCTTTAATAAAAAACACTACACTTACGACACGCTTTAGGCTATATATTTTTACGCTGTTAAACTTAGGGGTTAATATATTAAGAAAAAACCTTCATGTGGGAAAGTGACCAGTATAAGCCGCCAACATAAAACAAGCAAGATAATGGTAATTCTGACATTTGCAATTGTGACTTTGACAAATGTAAACAATAAATTAAGTTTTTTATAATTCCATGCGAACGGAGTCGCTGGAGTTAGCTAGTTATCATATAACTAGCTGTTTCGGTGTGAATTAGAACAAAGTATCCCTTTACAGACGATTTATTTATTAGATTACTCACTAGTTATTAAACTAAATTCTTAGCAATTACCTGCATGATTATAATGTACGCGGAATTAAATGCGAATAAAACAATAACACAAATGGATAAGATACGAAATGAGTATATTAAAGGAAGTTTGAGAGTAGCCCCAGAGGTTGAGAAAGTAAGAAGTAAAAGGTTAGCATGGTATGGGCACTATGAGGGATGAATCGCATGTTACAAGGAGAACGTTAGTTATGAGTGTGAAAGGGTATGGATGGCGTTAAAGGTGACATGGTCAATAAGGGAGTGATGACTGAGATGACGTATGAGAGTTATGTGGAGGACAAAAACCTGTTGCGCTGACTACGAGAGTAGCATAAGGAGAAAGATGATGAAATTAATGTAGTTGAACAAGATAGAACTATTTAAACGTTTTTGCGTAACTCAAATTAATTTTCCTGATATTAAATAGATGCAAAATTGCTTGTTGCATAGAACAAGCCCCTAAAACTATTATTTTAACTTTAAATTATAGTAACACTACTCACATTGCTCTTTGTTTATGTTTCCCGTATTATCAGACACTGATCCTATAGTCTACATATGTGCCGTACGCAAGACACTAATAAATTCTGCTCCTCGCTACAAGCGGACCTCACTTATGTAATATTCATAGCAATTTTATTATAAAGCTGCGTACACACTAGCAAAAAAATGATCAAAAATATTTAAACATGATATTAAATTTTACCGCACCGTGCATATAAACCATAAAGCTATCTTTCAATGATCAATAACTAGCTGTTGCTCAAGATTTCGAAATTAAAAAGTAATACAAAATGTAGCCTATGTTACTCACAGATAAATTACCTTTCTAATGGTGAAAGAATTTTTAAAATCGGCCTAGTAGTTTTTGCGTGAATCAAATACGAAAAATAAAAAATAAAAAAAAATACAAATATTTCCTCTTTATAATATTGGTATTGGTACAGATAACAATTATGTGTTAAGTAAGAAAGTTTAAAGGTTGAAACAATTACTTAAACATGGAGGTTTATTTAATTTTTTTAGCCTTTTTATTATTCAGTGTGTAGTTACCCTTAGAATATTCAGATAATTTAGAATCAACTTAAATTAAAATGGCCACGCCTTTCTGTCTTTATATCAAGCCAGTACCAAATATTAATCATACTGTATTACTGTTGATTTAAAAAAATATACAAAAATTCAATCATACCGTTTGTGTAAAGCTTGTGTCACACACGGTCGCGAAAACGAAACTAGAAAAAATAACCCAACTGACCAAAAAAATGTTTAAAACTAGTTTTATTTGTATCCGGTTTTATGATCTATCATAAATAGACTTTACGGTTATAGCACGAAAACTATATATCGCTATTTCTCTACTAGTCAAGTTCAAATATGGATAATGTAATCGCAAAGTTATATAATACGAGCTGTTACTCGCGACTTCACCCGCGTAAAAATAAAAAGAAAAGTAAAAAACATAGCCTATGTTACTCATTGATTACATAGCTTTTTAATGATGCAAGAGTTTTGGAAATGAGTCCAGTAGTTTTTGAGTTATACTGAAATACAAATCTTTCCTCTTTATTATATTAGTATGAACAAGCAAACAGGCGAGCGGTTACCTAATATCTTTAAAAAGGGAGTGACCACTGCCTACAGTTACAAAAAGTTACCTTTAAATAATAATAATAATGATAATTTATTTAACTCATGTAACAGAATATTACACATATGATATTTACAAGAACAATACATATTATATTACATTACACACACATATATAAAGAAAAAGGAGAAACTAAAATTAAAACTATCTAGGGGACCCGATGCCGGCTACGCGCATATGTACGCGCCGCCAGTGCCCCATGATCGGGCAGTCGGCTTTTAAAAACGCGCACACCTTTGAGTAAACTGTCGCACAACTGTTTAGTTTCGCTTTGATTCCTATGAGTATATATGGAGCTATACTGTTCAATTTTTAGTTGTGCAACTAAACAGTTGAATTGGCTGCAAAACAATCGACAATCGCACCACAATTGTGCGATTGTTTACTCAAAGGTGCGCGCCCGCTCCAAGGACTAGATGTAGACCTCTATTACCACATTTCATCAATGGAAACGCGAAAAAACACTTCCCGTCTGTCTTACAGTCATGCTGTGGAACTGGTCGTTTAAAATTTAAAAAATTGAAGCCATTTGTAACTGATCTTTCGAAGAGTCGTCCACAGTGTGTACGTACCTTTAAGATATAAAGTATGTTATTATTTACTTTATTTAAACAGTAAACACGTTAATTACGGTTAATGAATGTGGCTTTCCCTTGTGTGTTCATTCCTTATTTAATAAATGTCGCTCTATTACAGGACAGTTTTCTTCCAAGACAATCGACAAGCGGCAATCGATGTTCGTTTCCATGAATAAAATAACACTTACGGCCGGTTTTCCAGCTCCTTTTAATAATTCATTTGTGTTTTTGGTCCAATAAATTCATTATATGCGTTTCCGAACTACGTAAATTGACTTTTACACCATTTAACATTGGTCATCCGCAAGGTATATATATAAAATAGATGGAAATTTCAGAAACCCAGCATTAGTTTGCTACAGACGTTTAGTTCTAACTGAAGAGTCGAACTGTTAGTTCAACTGATAGCTAAGATGTTGCCTAGACACGTACAGTTTTGAGCGAATGTAAGGGGCGTTAGTGGCTTTTGGATGACTAAGCCATAGTCGACTATGCTGGCCCATAGCGGTTAATTTGACTTCAAACATATTCTTGAATTTCTTTGCCAATATGTACAGCCATCACGATGTTTTCATTCACCGTAAGAACATAGAAAATACGATGACATCGACAATGTGTTCTAATTTCAAATAATTTAAATTCGTCCTTTTTTCTAATGGCTTGAGACCTAAAACATGTAAATACTCCTTGAACAGCATGTTATGTATTGTTTTTCTTAAAAAACAATAACTTGCGTAATAAATATTAGTAATTTTCGGGATAAATAATTACATAATTACATTATAATATCCTATTTAACTGATTACGTGTTAAAACATGTGACGCTTGTCATCTGTAGTTACTGTATATTACATAGAGATAAATTACATAGTACTCTGTGTAATCTCATGACTTGCAAGGTTTTTGCTGGTTTAATTTGTCAGTTCGAGGTTAGGTAAAAACAAAAATTTATAAACGCATAGTTTTTTTCCTCGTACGAATGTAATCATGTCAATTGAAACTCAGATATAAACATGCATTATGTTTTATTTCTGTAGTACAAAGTAGCGAAAGCTAAACGGAGCGAAAATGTAAACGGCATTTTCAACTGACCATTTTTAACACCATAATTGGAGTTCGCTTAAGTTCGTTTAACAGTGGTAGAGCCCGTTTTAACATCTTTGCACGAATGGGTCGGCTCGACCAGTGCAATACCACGACCACACAGAAGACAGGCGTGAAGTGGGAGCAATTCCGCGTTTCGTCTGACGAGTGTTGTGCCGGAGGCCCATCTTTGGTCCCTTTTCCTTCCCACTCTTTTTCTTATATGATAAGGATAAGAAGGGAATGTGGATTTGACGGTGGACGAGACGCATAGGAAGGTGAAATATCCACTTTATGTGCGTCTCCTCCTCCGTCGATCAAGGGTAGGCAACGCATTCACTATAGCGAATGTCTATGGGTAGCGGTCGCTTTGCCATTTTGGCCGATTCAGGTGGCCGCTTGCTCGTTTGCCACCTTGTAATAATAAAAAAAAAGTTCCGCTTTGCTTTCACCAACAGCAGTCTACTAGAAGATTTTTCTTCATTCTCTTGTTCAAATGATTCTCATTATAATATATTGAAAAAGAACGCCGAATTATCGATATTTCTAATAGCACATTGTATTGTAGATTCTAAATAAAAGGTAATAGGATTGAAAATAAAACGTTATTTTAATTATAATCACCACTTTATTTATAAGATGTAAATTTTAGGGCAAATATTTGAAGTTCTCAGAAGACCAAAGTTCATTTAAATCTATCACAACTAGTGGCACTGATTTAGAAACACAAAGATGACATGACATACATGAAAAAAACATTATTTTATTAATATAAGGAACACAATATCGAAAATTTTATTAAAACTTCAACCATACATTTTATAGCAGCACTAGCCTTCGCCCACAACTGAGGGAGTTGCATAAAATTAAAAAAAAGTAAGTATCCTATGTGTTCTTCCAGACTATCCTCTACATCTGTGCCAAATTTCGTAGAGATCTGTTCAGCAGTTTAGACTACAAGCTCTAACAAACATCCATCTATCTAAACTATCGCATTTACAATATTAGAAAGATTGAATAAGAAGAAATAAGATTATAATAACTTGAGAAATAACATTAATGTTTTTCTTTAGCAAGTTTTGAAACCATTTCTTTGAGCTTAGATCTGTTAATTTTGGACGATATTGTTAAGGGCAATTTCTCCATAAACATAACTCCGCCGCGCAACTGCTTCGAATCTGATACTGATTCTGAAAATAAAAAAAAAGATGGTAACTATATGCTTTAAAAAGTTACGCTAATGTAAATACTTAAGTACGATTGAAAGGTCGCCAGCCGATGATCTAGGACTATGGGGGACAACTGCCCCCCCTACCTGGCGACGCCAACTGTACGCTCTATTGCAGTACTGACATATCCTTTCTTCATTTTATTGTTAACATTTATCTTTGGCAGAAGTTGAAAGTTCACGCAAATGCGGTGAAAGACGAAAACGCCAAATAGTGCATTTAAAGTCAATTGATATTAGGATATATTGATTTACTATTACCATGTAAGAGCGTGCGCAAATATGGAACTAAACTATCGCATAACTGTTTAGTCTTGCTTCGATTCCTATGAGCTTATATGGAGGTGCGACTAGATTTTTAGTCGTGTAACTAAACAGTTGAATTAGCTGCGAAACAATCGACAATCGTCAATCGCACAACAGTTGTGCGATAGTTTAAGGTGCTCCCGCTCTAAATGATTTCTGGTTACAAGATAAAGACTTACCTTCAACTAATTTTTTGATGTCATCCTCTGTGACGTCATAACCTTTGTGCAAAACGACACAAGCAACTGGCAAGTCACCGTCATTTGGATGGTCAATGCCCGTCACTGCCACTGTATGTACCCCCGGGTGCTTTTGTATTACATTCTCTATCTCCAATGGGGATATCTGAAACAAAGTATCTGTATTATTGCTTAATCCAGCAATTCCAAAAGTCTACGGGGTTACTACGTTAAATAAAGTGTCCCAAAAGTTGAAGGATCTCGGAATTTCTTGTTAATTTAATTAAAATGACATGAAGCCAAGCCAAAGCCGTTTTTTTCTTTACAGATAGTTTTTTTTTTTCAGTTTTAAGCACAAGTTACTGAGTCAGAAAGTTACCCGTGTTTTTTACAATTTTCATTGAAAATTGTCGGCGTAACTCCTAGATAGAGACTAGAGATAACTCGTAGAGTAACTCCTAAAAGAATTATTGCCGACAATTTTCATTGAAAATACTCTTCTAATATAGGGATCTCTAAATAATTCTATGCATCAATACCTGATAACTTCTGTATTTCAACAACATTTTCATACGCTCAACAAAATAGAAGTTCCAGCTTTCATCTCTGTACAGAATATCTCCTGTTTTCAACCAGCCGTCTTCTGATATCGTTTCTTCTGTCAAAGCTTTGTTATCGCAATATCCCTAGAAAGAATATAGGAGGTAAAAACTGATCGTAATAAAAAAAACATACACTTGAGTACCTCCTTCTTTTGGAAAGTCGGTCAAAAAAATATTAAAAAGATACGACTCAAATGAAACCTATTCATTATTCATCTATATCTATTTCATACTCTATGGAAAATTTAAAAATAATTTAGTGTTGCAATTGCCTATGTTTTTTTTTAGAATAAAATGAACTTACTTTAAAAAGTGTTGCACCTTTTAACCACAACTCTCCCGGAACATTCGGCTCGTTAATATCTTCCTGTGTGTCAACATTTACCAACTGAAAGAAAATATGAAATACAATTTTAGTAATTTCAATTATACAGAATTGTAGTTTGCATAAACACTTGGGATATCAAGCCAGTTAAAGCTCTTGTCTATATCTATAAAATTATAAAGAGAATTTTTTTTTATATGAATTGAAATAACTCAAAAATTACTCGGCCGATTTATAAAATTCTGTCACCATTAGAATGGTAATTTATAAGTGTATAATTTTTTTTAATTTCGCGGGGACTAAGTAGCGAGCAACAGCTAGTATGCTATAATTTAAAAACCGCACACCATTGTCATAGAAACGGGCGGTTAACTCCGTGATATACGACTTTTACTCTAATGCGCCCAATCATTGAGCTGTTTAACCTTTCCGATGGTTTTTTTAATTGCTTTTTACAGGAAAGTGTACATAAATCAATTGATTGAGGTCTACATAATAAGGGTTTCCACTACAATTGCGACTCTTAGTAGTATTAAAGGAAATGTAGGTATTTAAAATGCTTCTTCAGATATACCAACTTACTCTTGCTTGGATACAATTCAGGAGCTGCCCACACGCGCCTGGCACACAATTGTAGTTAATAATCGACAGACCGGAGATTTCACTCATGCCGTAGCCAATGCAAACGTCCACATTAGGTACGACGGTCTGGGGAATTCAAACAAGAAAAAAATTAAAACAAACATCTAAGAATAAGAGAAACTACAAGTTATAGACAGATAGTAACTGAAAGTAAAATATTATAACTAAATAAAACTACCCAACAAAGTGGCAGTTTAGGTTTCCAAAAGACTTGTCTTAATTTCAGAGAAGTTGGACAGAAATCGGTAAATCTCATTGGCTTAAGAGCGACCGCACATCTTTGACAACGAGTAATCTATCGTACAGACGTGCGATTGTCGATTGTTTTGCAGCTTCAACTGTTTAGTTGGACAACTAAAAATCGAGTAGTGTGCGCACCTCCATATAAACTCATAGGAATCAAAGTGCGACTAAACAGTTGTGCGATAGTTTAGTCAAAAAGGCTAAAGGTTTAGGCTCAATCGTATTGCAGCAACAATCCAGTAATACCGAGGATATCCGAAGTTACCCGATGTGTTTTAGGTCGTTGTTTCTTCTTCTATCGTTTAGCACTTAGGATATTTTAGCCCTTATTTGATTATAGAACTTTTATCATCATCATCTCCCCTATCTTATCCTACTCCCGTAGGGTCGGCGCACCGGGTTTTCATCCTCCTAATAACGCTATTATCCGTCAGCTCAGTCATCATTCCCTTCTTGATCATGTCACCCTCCACGCAATCCATCCATCTCTTTCTAAGTCTATCTTTACCGGTGTTCCAAACTCATAACTAACGTCCTTCTTGTTACATGCGATTCATCCCTAATAACTTGCCCCTACCAGGCTAACCTTTTGCTCCTTAATTCCTCTACCACTAAGGCAATTCCCAACCGTCACCTCGCTCTGTCCCCACGTGGAGACCGATGAGAATAAAAAGTTTCGTTCTCCCCACCTTTTGCGACGAAGAGACGGTTGGTACTTATTTTATTTTATAACGGTTCCATCACCTTGATAGTGATAGTGGGACTAAAAGGTGGAATGGATTAAACGTGGAGACAGAGAGGGGGGACGGTTGGGAATAATCCCAAACATCCATAGAACTATGTAACAAAAAAAATTTCCTATTGACTTATAGATATATACATTTGCGTTTTACATTTTGTAACAAGATAGGTTATTTACCTTGATTTCATCTATCAACGTCTGTGATACCGCGCTGCCCCCAATCATGATCAATTCCAAGCAAGAAAAGTCACAGCTTTCCCTTAGTTCAGACTTCAACAAGCTACTCATCATATTCGCCCCCATTTTGATATCTGTAGGCTGTAAACATCGGTAAAATTATGTAAAACGTAAGCTTATACAATGAAAATTAAATGCATTTTTCTCTAAACCTCTTGATTCAACGCTTGTGGTCGGTATTTCCAGAAGTTTCTATGAATAGGGCTTTGTTGAAGTACCTACATGAGATTTAACTCTTTACGTTTAGCAGATATTATGCCGTTTACAAGATTAGATTTTATACAGCAAAAATTATAAACAAGAAAGCTTATACAGGTGATGTTTCCATATCGCCTAATTTAAGTCCTTTAAATATTTACTAGCTTTCGTCCGCGACTCCGTCCGTGCGGATTAAATAAACTTAGTAGTCTAAGTGTTCCTCCAGACTATCTTCTACATCCATGCTAAACATCATGATTCGTTCAACAGTTAGGCCATCTCTAACATCCATCCATGTTTTTTTTTGTATTGTTTAGAAATCTCCACAGAGATACCCTTTTTTCTGGGGGGGAGACAGGGTTATGTGAAGTTTGTACCGACGAAAACCCCTTTGGTGGCCAGCCTCTCCTGCAATAGATCCATCTATCTAAACTTTCGCATTTATAAGTAACTAGCTTTCGCCCGCGACTTCGTCGGCGTGGTAATTAAAAAAACAAAACCAAGTAGCCTATGTGTTCTTCCAGACTATCCTCTACAACTATGCCAAATTTCATTAAGATCCATTCAGCAGTTTAGACTACAAACTCTAACAAACATCCATCTATCCATCTAAACTTTCACATTTATAATATTAGTATGATATAGTATCTTCGTAAATTTTACCTTATATGTATTGATAAGATGGTAAGCATGTTCCACTGTGACTGGCAGTGAAGTTTGTAATCTCGTGATCCTCAGTATCGGTGTGGTGAGTATGAGAATTACACCCGTTATCCACTGCGTGGGTGAGGTCAACAGTGTCATCCGAGTTGGTTTCGGAAATGTATTGTATCGTAACCTAAACATACAAATCAAAGGTTATTAAGTTATTAGTAAGTTCTGTAGTAATTTATTTTCATACGTTGCCGAAGACTGCCCCCACCCCGGCCGAATAAAGCCATATTAACGACAATTTAACTCACCCCCCAGATCTAAATAGACTGGACGGCTATGGGGTTTTTGTAAGGTGGGTTTTTAGACAAATACTTAAGGTCTGTCAGTACTGCAAAGTCTTTTGTTAGTACTAAATACAGTTGCATTAAGAACGTGCGCACATCTATACTGCTTTCTCGTTTTTATTCCTATGGGCTTAAACGGCGGTGCACACTACTCGATTTTAGTTGTCCAACTAAACAGCTGCGTAACAATCGACAATCGCACAGTTGTCAGATAATTTAGTCAAAGGTGGGCGCTGCAAAGGAAAGGTTTTAATTAGCGTAAATAAATGTATTGTATAACAAACTGACCACCAGTAAGGCGTTGAAATCGCCATATTGGCGTGTGTGATGATCGCAGCTTTGAACACTCCTGTAGTACCACTGGTGCATATTAAAAATGCTGTGGTCGTTTCTGGATCGAACTCATTCGGACTGCAATCAAATAAAAGTGGAATATCTACGTGATAAACTAATTTTACAATTTAAATAAAAAATAGAAATAATTTTATTGGAAATTAAAAGATTGACAACTAAAATTACAATTTGAGGTTAGGTTAAATCTGGTGATGCCCACACTAGGCAATGTCTTTATCGTGGGCACCGAGCTTCAGCAGTAACAATCTTTCCTTACATTGATTTCTAAAACCTACGCTTATGACGTTTCGGTATCACTCATGTATTATATACTAGCTTTCACCCGCGACTCCGTCCGCGTGGAATTAAAAAAAACAAAAGTAAGTAGCCTAAGTGTTCTTCCATACTATCCTCTACGTCTATACCAAATTTCATCGAGATCTGTTCAACTGTTTAGGCTACAAACTCTAACAAACATCCAACCATCTAAACATTCGCATTTATAGTATTAGTAAGATTGCTCCAGTATAGATGAAAAAAATATGGCAAATCTTACCGAAAACTCTCAACAGTTTCTTCGCTGTCTTCAATAAATTTAGCAAACGTGGTATAATCACCACTATCGTTAAATGTTATTATACGTGCGTCTAAGTTTATTCCTTTTAACGCATTCGAAACATTCTCTGCTTTCTCGCTTTGACAGAATATAACTTTTGGCTTTTCACATTTAAACAAATCTTCAAGTTCTCCTGAAATTATAAGAATCAATAAATAGTACAGTACAAAATAATATCATAACAAGCATAAGAACGTGGTCATAACTTTGACTAAAATATCGCACAACTATTGTGCGATTGTCGATTGTTTCGCAGCCAATTCAACTTTTTAATTCTACAACTAAACATCAAGTAGTGCACCTCCATATAGAAGAATTTAAATAGATTTTTTTTCATGGCCACAAAAAAAACTACATAAACATTTAATACACAAAACCTTAGAGCTAATATAAAAAAAAAGAGAGAGAAATGTGGCAAAAGGCAAGCTCAGCTAATGCAGGGACGGCGCAAGCCGTTACTGCGCTGGTTTTCAGCTGGCCCCTTTACACATGAGTATTAACACATAAGTCACCCTGACTTAACCTAGACAGACATTAAAAAATTTAAGAAATAAATAATATATTAAGGTTACAATTTTATAGGATAATTATTATTATTTTAATATATAAGCTTATAGGAATCAAAGCGAGACTAAACAATTGTGCTATAGTTTTTTTAACGGGCCACGTTTTAAAGTAGCTAGAAATGTCAAAATATAAATCGCTTACCGACAGTCAAAGCGACATCAACGCAGCCAATACCGAGTCCTAGATATAAAGCGGCGTAAAAAGGTATTGAAATATCCAAATGATTAGGAGCCATCAGTACTATATGATCGCCGACGTTCAATCCCATCTTTCTCAGACTACCCGCACATTGAACACTTCTTTTTAATGCTGATTTACAGGTCTCGCTTTCATCAGTAGCGCCATCTATCTACAAACAAATAAATGTCTACGTTATTTAAACAAGTTTGAGTAAAGAACTGTTTTGTTTTTGCTTTTATTAGTAAAAAAACTAAGGACCTGTCCCACCAAATTAAAATGTCTGATAACAAACCAACGTATAAAATATGTAAATATCGGATTTTGTTACCAAATCTGACAGTGACGTCATTTTTAAGCTATCTAAGCGTTTACCAGCCAGTGGTGGGCCAGTCATTTGAACTTTTTAAATTAGATTAATTCTTACTTGTATTACAATTTAGTTAAATTCTTTAACTAGTTACCTGTAAGATAAAGTCTGGCTCTTCCTTAAGGCAGTGCAATACCATTTTCCCGAGATGATACTGGTCACTCGGTTTACCAGATTTAGCGACAATTTGCAAGGCGAGTTTCTGCATATACCAATGTACTGCATCGTACATACACTTTTGGACGCCCATTTCAATTCTAAACAAATTTAACCTTATCATTATTTGTCGACATACATACTTCTATTCTTAATATAATAAAGCGTAAACACACACTACTTTGTGACGCAGGATGTCAGCAATCACAGCATATTTTTGAATAATTCATTCTTTTATAAAAAGCTCTACACTTACGACACGCTTTAGGCTATATATTTTCACGATATTAAACTTAGGGGGTAAATAAATTGGAAAAAATCTTGATATGGAAAAGGGACCATAAACTACAAGCTGCCAACATAAAGAAAGCAAGGTTATTATTAACGGTAATTTTGACATTTGAAATTGACAAATATAAACAATAGAATAAAGTTTTTATAATTCCATGCTGATGAAGTCGCATGGAAACAGCTAGTTACTGTTATAAAGTGGATAGATTTGTATTTTTGTATGCATTGTAATAACTCAAAAAATGGACCGATTTCAAAAATTCTTTCACCATTAAAAAGCTGCGTTGTCAGTGACTAATATAGTTTATAATTTTATTAATTAATTTCACGCAGACGAAGTCGCGGGTAACAGCTAGTAATATTATAATCATAATCTATACTAATATAAAGAGGAAAGATTTATATTTTAAAGTAAAGTACTGGACCGATTTCAATAATTCTTTTACCATTAGTATAGGTTACATTTTTATTATTTAAAACAGACGAAGTCTTGAGCAACATCTATTATAAAATAAATAAATATTTTTTGCTGTAGATCAAAGTCCATAAGCGTCATTAACATATCTCAGTGACATTCGAATAATTAAAAATGTTGACAAAAAATAATAAACTGCTTCGTCATAACGTTAGTGGATTAAGTAAAAAAACTTTGTCTCCAAAACTAAATGTAATTTATTAGATGGAAAATATCCTTATCTTATCTTAATTTTGGCATATTTTGGCACAGTAAACAATATGTACATACTGGTATACACTCTGCCAACACTAGATTGGGTCACGACCAATTCGTTTGAAGAATTAATCAATTGTTAACTGAATAGACCGGTATATTTAAATAAATTGCAAGCCTACTATATATTACATAAAAACATTTATATTGTCCGCTCTATAATTTTGAATCTCTTTTACTATTACACAATGTTATGAAATCTCATTAACTTCTGTGTATTCTTATACGAAACTAGCTTTCGCCCACGACTCCATCTGAGTGGAATTAAAAAACAAAAGTGAGTAGCCTGTGTTCTTCCAGACTATCCTCTACGTCTATGCCAAATTTCATAGAGATCCGTTCAGCTGTTTGGGCTACGAACTCTAACTTAATCCATGTAAACTTTCGCATCTTACTAATATTACAAATGCGAACGTTTAGATGGATGGATGGATGGATGGATGTTTGTTAGAGTTTGTACCCTAAACGGCTTAACGGATTGCAGTGTAGTTTGGTACAGATGTAGAGGATAGTCTGGAAGAACACATAGGCCACCCACTTTTGTTTTTTTTTGTTCCGCGCGGACGGAGTCGCGGGCGGAAGCTAGTTTATAATATTAGTAAGAATTAGGAAGAAAATAAATAAGATTTTTATATCATTAAAATTTGATTTTTATGATATTTATTACAGCCTAAGATTACTATAATTATGTAAATCAATGAAGTAAGTTTATTATTTGTATTTATTTATTTTTTTTTTATTTATTTACATACAGAAAAGAAATATTTAAAAATTTACAAATAAAAATGTCGCCAACAAACTGCACAGCAGTTTGTTGGCGACAAACACCCATTTCTTATAAATATACCTTAATTTATCTTCTACTTAATTATTATATATTTACTAGTTACTTTAATCTTGTAAGAAATGATTTCTTAATTTATTTTTTACAATGTTTTTGGATTTTTTGATAATGCTTTCATCTCTGAGAAAGTTAATTTTCTTCTTTTTCTAAAATTGCTATATATTTTCACGACATTTTACTTAGGGGGTAAATATTTTGGATATAACCCTAATGTGGGAAAGAGACCATAAGTTGCTGCCAACATCAAGAAAGTAAGATTGCCATGGTTTGTCACCGTTATGCAATTTTGACATTTGCAATTTGACACATGTAAACAATAAAATAAAGTTTTCATAATTTTATGCGACTGAAGTCGCACGGGAACAGCTATGCTTAATAAGGGAGTAAATTCAGATATGACTGCTGTTAGAGATGAATGGAAGCAGCAGACGATACGATAAGGGCAAGTTGTTGATGGTAGATAACTTTACGTTGAATTAATGTATTTTTCTTTTGTTGTAGTGTTAAATTATAGATTGCGATTACTTCTTACCAAATGTAAGGGATACCGAACATAGCGTTCTTATGCGTAATCGCAGCACATTTAGGTGTTCCAGTGGTACCGCTTGTAGAAACAAGTAAACACAATTGCTCCTCGGGATCAAGTTCTGCTGGCCTGGAATTTAAGACGTTCTTCAACGACCAAATATAATAACGTGGATATTACACTGACTTCCGTAGAGGATAGTCTGGAAGAACATATAGGCTACACCATTTTTTTAAATTACTTGCAGACGGAGTCGCGAACGAAAGCTAGTATGACATAAATGGGTAAGTCTGGATGGATGGATGTTTGTAGCCTAAACTGCTGAATAGATTTCGATGAATTTATACACAGATGTAGAACATAGTCTGGAAGAACACATAGGTTATTTGCAAAGTTTATTTTTATTTGTGTTCTTAGTATTTTGATACCAAATATATGTGAATACTTACTTGAATTCCTCCACTGTTGTACCGCTGCCATATTTTTCAATAAACTCTAAAAAACTGGTGTTATTTTCACTTTTATTGTACTTGACAATTCTGGCGTCCATTTTTATGTTTTTTTTTTTATATAACATAAGGTGGCAAACGAGCAAGCGGCCACCTGAAGCCGCCAAAATGACGAAGCGACCGCTGCCCATAGACATCCGCAATTGCAATGTTTCTTAACGCTTCTGCAACATCTTGTTCCCTTTCGCTTTGACAGAATATCACTTTTGGTAATCTTAATTGGAATGTTTCTTCTAATTCCACTGAAAATGTACTTTTATAATTATTATCCATTGAAATAAAATCGCTAACTGCGAAGAAAATACGTAATGCAAATTATCACAAACCATCATTTTAATTTTAAGGTCCCTCATCAGAATTTAAGCCTCCAGTAAGAATTTCATTTACACTATCATTAATAATATTCATTTACGAATATAAATAAGGGAACCCTAAGAGTGGGCGCACACCTTTGACAAAACGATCGCAGACCTTTTGTGCAATTATAGATTGCTTAGCAACCAATTCAACTGTTTAGTTACCTCCATATAAGCTGATAGGAATCAACGCGCAACTAAACAGTTGTTCCATAGTCATCAAAATCAAGTCTCTTAACCAAAGATACACCTATCTTTGGTTACTTTAATGGCTTGATAGTATAAAGCATATAACACTTACTTATTCCAAGCGTACTATCAACACCGGCTACTATCACTCCTAAGTACAAAGCAGCATAAATGTATATGGTCAGATTGGTGAAGTTAGGTGCCATCACCACTATGACGTCATCAGCTTTCAATCCTATCGCTCGGAAAGCATTCGCACAACCAACTGATCTTTCCAGAGCATCTCGGAATGTGTCTGTCTCTCCGGTACCACCGTCGATCTAGATATGAAATGTTTGAACTTATTATTATTCGTAACTTGGACTAATTTAATTAATGTAAACTAGCTTTAGCTTGAACAAAAAAAAAACAAAAGTGTGTATGTGTTCTTGCAGACTATCCTCTACATCTATGCCAAATTTCATCGAGATTCTTTTACTAGTTTAGGCGACAAACTCTAACAAACATCATTTAAGATTTCGCATTTGTAATACTAAAATTATTGGTAATTTCAATCTTTATTAACCTGCATAATGAAGTCGGGAGCATCTTTTAGACTCTGTAGGATGAGTTTGCCGACGTGATGTCTGTCTGAGGGTATGCCAGTGTTGGCGACCACACGACTTCCCAATTCTTCCAGGTACCAAAACACTGCGCTATTAGCATGCTTATGGTACTTCATCTTTCTGAAAATATAACACACATAATACTCTTTGAATCACCAACGATAATACGTTCACTGCGTAATAGGCCGATATCGACCTGACGCAGTACTTAAGCTGGAGCGAAACAATTATTTCAGATGTTTACATTACGTTACATAAAATTTATACATTATGTTTCGACAATTATAGCAATTTTATCTATACTAGTCTGGTGGGTCGAAAAAGACCTGCCACGCACTGGCGAAAATATCATTGGGGGCGCATTTTGGCCGGCGCACCAGATAAAGAATTATGATTTAACTTGCCGCACTTTATTTTATACCCGCTAGAGAATCTAAGTTCGGACAGTTTTAACTGAAGAGTCACTTCAGTTAGAACTGTGCGTGTGTTGGCGAAATTTCAACTGTCAATTGAACTGTTCAGTTATTGTTTAGCTTCAATGCGCTTTAGCGTCATTAGATCATAGATAGAGAATTAGAAATGTTATTACTTAACAATTTTTATGTGATTATTTGTATTTATTAGTAGAAATACCTCAAATTCAACAGGCCACTCACTTTTATTTATCAATTTTTAAAAATATAAGAAAGGTGCAATTTTTATCGTATAACGGAAACAGTATCGCATTAACTAATACTAACTGAGGAATTACTAAAGATAGCACACGTTTATATATCTGTACACGTTTATAGCACATGTTTATATATATTCCTATTGATGATGTGGAATAGATTACATAACTGTCTATAGATAGAGACAGCGACTACCTTTGGACCACAGGTGTTAAACACGTGGTCTCTGTAAAATCCTTATCCTACTCCCTTTAGGTCCGCGCGAGAGATTATCCAAATAACTATCATCCGTCATCTCAGTCATCACTCCATTCGTATTCATGTCACCTTTCACCACCTTACCACACTCCACACTCATGACGTTAGAGAAATTATTAAAGGATTTTTCGTCCCAACAAGAACATATTTGACTGACTAAACATTTACCTTTACAGTAAAAGTAATTACTAAAGTTGTGTTGGATCCTGCATCTAATAAAATTATTTAAGAGATTGGTATTTTTGACCGACTTCCCAAAAGAAGGAGGTATTCAATTCGTCGGTATATTTTTTTTTTTTTTATTTTTTTTTTTTATGTGTGTTA